CCCAGACTGGAGTGCAGTGGCCGCTCCCGGCCACTGCAGCCTCGGCCTGCTGGGCTCCAGCGATCCTTCAGCCTCAGCCTTCCGAGTAGCTGGAATTACAGGCATGTGCCACCACACCCAGCTGATTTTTTGATTTATTGTAGAGATGAGGTCTTGCTGCCCAGGCGGGTCTCGAACCCGCGGGCTCAGACAATTCACTCACCTCAGCCTCCCAAAGGCACGGGATTACAGGCTGAGCCACCGAGCCCGGCTCTCTATGGTATTTTATAGTCTTATACAACGTTAGCTATAAGGCCTATTTTGGGTTGGTTGAACAGATCGATGACATCAATATTTTAAGTAGGCACCTCTGTAGCTCTCTCAACCTGTTCCTCATAGTTGCAAGAAGGTAATCATCTCCAAGCCTGAGGTCCTCATATAGTAACTTACAAAACAGAAAGAGGAAAAGAGCAATTAATGAGCGCTTTCAAGGATCTCTCTTTACCAGGAAGGAAAACATTTCCAGACTCCCCAACCTCCTTGCAGGTCGGTCATCATGTCTCACTGAGTAGACCTGGCTGGGAAAACAAGGATCTGACATTTGGGGCCTCTTTCTCAGGAAAGAGCACTACTAGTAGGGAAGAAAGAAGATAGATAACAGTTGGGTAAGCAATGAACAATGTCAGCCATAATCTAAGTGACAAGATTGCTGTCCTAAGAGGTATTTTCTCATTTACATCTACCTCTGCCTCCAGTGCAGTATAAAAATGCCTACTTCCTCATATCCTTGCCAGTGCCAGAGAGTATCATTCTGTTTATCCTATTCACTCTGGTAAATAATGAGCATATCTTACTATTTTTTGTTAATTGATATTTTTTGATTACTGGTGAGGTTAAACATTTAAAGACGTTTACTGAGTTTTCCTTCATTTTGTGAATTTTCTATTCACATGTTTTCTTGATTTATTATTATGATGGTCATCATTATCATGCTAATTTGTAAGAGATATTTTTATAGGAGATATTTTTATATAGGAGATGTGTGTTTTTGTAGCAGGAATAATTCTGAGTATTTTCAATACTAAGTCAGCTAATCCTCTGTGCAGTACATATTTTAATAATAGCTCATTTACAGATGAAAAATTTCAGACACAAAGAGGTTAAGTCAATCCTTGAGGTCTCTCAGCTAGCAAGTGGTAGGGATAGGATTAAGTCTAGGCACCTAACTCCTAAATTACAATGCCTCTCAGGCCTTACACGTTTTTCTCAATTTCTCATATGACTTCAATAATCTGAAACCAAGATTTAATCTTTTTTTGTCAGTTTCACACATCTTACCACAGTATCCAGTAGTTTTACATGAAGGCAAACTGAATTCCTGTTTTGATTACTCATTATTTCATAAAACAGGTTTTCCTTCAATAGTAGCAGAAGGTTCCTGGTTGGAGAAATAAACCAAAGTATCCCTATAGCTTTCCAGACTTTCCAGCTCAAGGGTGCCTGCCGCCTTTTATGGACAAGAGAACTTGATATCAGAGGAGTCTGTGTAGTCACATGTCTAAGAGCCTAGCCTGGTTCTAGAAGACTTCCGTGTCCAGGAAGTTTTGTCCCAGGTTTCATCACAGCCTTTCCAGATGAGATGACGCATTCGTTTTTGAAAAATTAATATGCTATTTTTAGAGAAATTTTAGGTTTACAGAAAGATTCAGTGAAAAGTGCAGAGAATTCCATATACTTTACTCACAGTCTCCCGTCATTAACATTTTCGCTTTAGTACGGTGCATTTGTTACACTTTATGAACAAATCTTGACACATTATTATTAACTAAAGTTCATAATTTACATTAGAGTTCACTCTTGGTGTTGTATTTTTTTGTATGGTTTTAGCAGATGCATAATATCATGAATCTACGTATAGCGTGTATCATGCAGAATAATTTCACCACCATAAAACTCTCTGTGCCTCGCCTAATCATCCTTGTTCTCTTCCCCATCCTGACCCACGCACACTCTGCTCTCCCTGAACACCTGAAAATTCTGCTGTCTTTATAGTTTTGCATTTTCCAGAATGTTATACTCATATAGTTAGAATCTTGAAATAGGTAGACTATCTAGACCAACTTCTTTCCCTTGGTAACATGCATTTAAGGTTCTTTCATGCCTTTTAATGGCTTAATAATTCATTTATTCTTGCCATAGAATAATATTACATTCATAGAATGAAATTTTATAAATAATGTTGCTCCAAAATTTTTTTTAAAGTTATAACGCCACAGAGCAGCTGTTCTTACTGAGAGTCAGCCATTTTTCCTGAATTGTTCTTCAGGCTGTTACAATGCTTTGGTTAATTTCCAAACTTCTGAAAATGTTGATTTTGATCATTGTTTTCAATATTCTCATCTTTTTTAATGGAAGAGTGGATTTTCTCTGGTTCCTAGTTGTCATCCCAGGAGTGCTTCTCCCAACTAACAAAAAATATTTAGTATTGTCATTATTTTTTTAGTTTTAAATATTATCTAATTTTCATTGTAACTTTTCCTTTGACGCTTGAATTATTTACACTTGTTTCTAGATTTTCAAATCTAGTGTGTTTGAAAGTTGAAGTGTTCTAATTTGTTTTTATAATTTTAACTAATTGTTGGAAAATTTGTCGTAACAAGATTTGTAGCCTCATATAGAGTCAAGTTTTTTTAAAGTTCTGAGCTTAACAAGAGCATGACTCTGTGTCTGACTCTGTTGTGTTCCAATAAAACTTTATGTTCACTAAAATTTGAATCTCATGTCATTTTCATGTGTCATAAAATATTAGTCTTCATTGGATTTGTTTAAGCTGTTTAGAAATGTAAAAAGAATGACTACTTCACAAACTATACAAAACAAACAGCAGGCCTTACTTTCCCAAAGGCCAAAATTTGTCAACCCCTGTTCTACAGAGGGTGCCAAAAAAATGTTAACACATTTTAAGAAAGAAAAAAACTGTATTAAAACTGAAATATTCAATATATACCTATAACAAAAGATAAATGATGCAAGTCACATTTGACTTCTGCTGTTGCAAGAGGTACTCAAAGTGGTTACCATTAGCATGCAGACACTTCTGATTACAGGGAACTAAAAGTAACACATAGGTAACATCTCTTAAAATCTGTATACATTTTACTTTTTTGGGGGGGCATCTCTGGTAATATCCTTACAGCTTTGTTTAATCTACTGTATCAACTTATTCATCAGAAGTGTGTTTAAATATCCTGAAAGGAAAAATAGTCCTTTCAGTAATGTATTTCTTACAATTTAATTCTTATTTATCTATTTGTGAAATAAATTTATCTTTTTAAAAACAGTTCTATCAGATTTTTTATTATACATTTTGATAATTCTAAACTTACAAATTTAGAATTATTATCTTCATGGTAAATTTAACCTTTTATCATTATGCAGTGACTTTTTATTTTAGGATATTTTTGTCTTAACATCTACTTTGTTTATGTCATTAAATCCACATCGGGCATTGTTTAATACTTTAACAGTATAACCTTTTTCTACTTATGTTTCACTTTCTGTGGATTATGTTTAAATGTGTCTTTCCTGAGTAGTATATAGGTGGATATTTTTTTAATTTAAATTTTCTTTTTTTTCCTTTTTTTTTTTTGAGTCGGAATCTCACTTCGTCACCCAGGCTGGAGTGCAGTTGCATGCTCACAGCCACTGTAGCCTCGACCTGCTGGACTTAGGTGATCCTTCTGCCTCAGCCTTCCAAGTAGCTGGAACTACAGGCGCATGCTACCATGCCCGGCTTATTTTTTTATTTATTGTAGAGATGAGGTCACACCAAGTTGTCCAGGCTGGTCTTGAACCCCTGGGCTCTGGCAATCCTCTTGCCTCAGCCTCCCAAAGTGCTGGGATTACAGGCTCAATGGTTTTTTTTTTCTTTAGAGGTTGTAGTCTATCTATTGTATGCATGACTGATCGTTTCTGAAAATGTCATTATGTTGTCCTCATTCTTGAAAGATAACTTTACTAGGTATTGAATTTTATACTGACATATATTTTCTCTCAGTACATTAATAGTAATATTTTATACTCTTCTTGTTTCCAGTGTTGCTGCTGAAAAGTTGGCTGTCAGTCTATTTGTTGTTGTTTTGAAAATAATCTAACTGCCTTTAAAATATGTGATTTTTATCACAATTTTAATATGATTTGACTAAGTATGGATTTCTTTTTATTTATTCAAGTGGGAGTACACCGAGCATCTTAAATCTGTACATTAGTATCTTTTATTGATTCTGAAAATTTCTCTATAATTATCTTCTCAAATATTGTTTTTAATCCATTTCTTTCTCTACTTCTTCTGGAATTTCAATTAAGCTTATAGTAGAGGTTTTTTAACCTCTTTTTTATTACTTTACTTAGGCTCTCTGAGTCTCATGCTAAACAATTATGTTAGGTCTGTCCTTTAGTTCTGTTTTAAACTGTGTTTTATCTCCTGATAAACCTACATTTTGATTGTTTTTTAATTCATTATTACATTTTTATGTCTAAGACTTCGCTTTGATTTGTTTTCTAATCTGCCTTCTCTTTAGTCAAATTTTTGGTCCTTTTTTTACTTCTGGAATTATATTAACATGTGTTTTACATGTTCATTCCAATATTTAAAGTATTGTGAGTCTAATTCCATTTTCAGTTGTTTACTTTGACTCTCAGTTGAAGTACCTTGCTTCTTTTTGTATTTGGTAGT